CTTTGGTCAAATCTTGGCACATCTGCAATGCAGATCTGCTTCAAATCTGCAGAATCCCTTTGCAGAATCTGCAAAGTTACTGCAAAGATTTTTCCAGATTTATGTTGCAGAAAAATCACCTGGGTAGATCCGCCACTGTCATCTAGCTCTTTGTACGTTAATCTACGTGGATATCTTGTAGTCGAAGCATCTTCTCTTTAGCTAAGAGAAAGCGATATCGTCCGTTCAGAAAAATGGTGTATATATAAATAACTGAGAGGAAAAGAGAGAAAAGATGAACTAGAACTAGAACACAGACAAAGTGACATGTAAAAAAGGAAATATGATAACTGCTTAATATACAAGAGAAGCTATGCCTATACTACAAAAGTTAATCGGAATTCTCGATATCTGACTGGAGTTTCTATGTAGCAACTTTGCTCACATGTAGAAAATCTTAGTTAAGTTTTGTAGTGTAGACATGGCCATAGAAGCACTCGATGACTTAAAGAGAAAAGAGAATTCAATGCGTATACGATGACAGCCAATTTCTGACATCAATGCATTATTATAGAATAAGTTCACAATACAAGATCTCGTATAATTACAAGACATTCATTGAGATTAGACATCTATTAGTTTTCTTTCTATCCGTTATTATAAAAGCAAGAAGCACATTTCTTTCTGCTATTATCCGAATGAAAGATATTGATTCAAAAAATTCAAGAACAGTTAAAGACAGCAATCCCCGTAGACAAATTTTTTTTGATAAAATTGATAAGATTCTTATCGGAATCTTATCAGTTTCTTATATAAGATTGTTTAAGATTTCCCATCGACAGTCGTAAGTGTCTTATAACAATCTTATAAGATTTTCATAAGAGGTTCGTAAGAAATTCATAAGAAGTACTAAACATTCTTATGCTATTCTTATTTACTAGAAGGCAGCTTATGAGTTGGTTTTGGTGATTTCTGTTATGATTAAGTTGCTTCTAGTAGCTGGAAAACTTCATAAGAATTTTCGGTACTTCTTATGAATTTCTTACGAACCTCTTATGAAAATCTTATAAGACACTTACGACTACCGATAGGAAATCTTAAAAAATCTTATATAAGAAACTGCTAAGATTCCGGTAAGAAGCTTGTAAGACATTTAGACGTTCCTCGTAAGATTCTTATATAAGAATCGATAACTAGAGCCAGGACTCCATAAGAAGTTTAAGTGAATGACCATGAACTAAAAAAACTTCATCGACTTACCAGTTAATATATTCGTTCAGCTAAGAAAAATCGAAAACACTAACTTCCGGGTAGGCCTCGGAACTCACCGCTGTAGCGATTATAATGACGTGCACAAACTTAAAAGGTGCTGAGTCAAAAGTTGAAAAGAGCATGTGTACGACAAGGTTTTTGTTTGTACTATCTAACCCGTTATTTCCTACATTCATAAATCACCAGGAGGCAAAACAGAAAATTATTCAAAATATTTATAGGAATATGCACGTTGAGTGTTTTGTCTTGGTTTTTAGATAAGATGAATCTTCGTCGTGTAGATAAAGGTAAAAATTATTATTCTAAATTATACAATGGTAAACAAACACTAAATAACACACAACAACAACCATCAAATAAAACAAAACAATATTCTCCATCAAAACAACAGAATCGTCGTCAAACAGTAACATCGGCAATGAGAACAATAATAAAACGGGAAATCGATAAATATAAATGGAAGCAAAAACAAAAAAATATGAATAAAATGATGGACGATATTCGTTCGATTGCACAGAGATGTTTGAAACGAGCGTTAAAAGGTGGTCGAAATGGTCCAACAATCACATCGGGGCTATCAGTCATTACTCCAGAGCAATATCTTTTTCTTCGACGCCATTTCATTGTAAGTTGAAAGCTTTTTACTTCCGCCTTTAGGTTTCAACAAGTTCATTTCTGAAACAGTTCTTTTTCTGTCTATGTTATGTTCGTCCTCCTACATGATTTATGATACTTCATTTGTTTTTGTATAGAAACATTTTTTTGCTACATACCCATGTAGCAACGCCTAACTTTTGCCGATTAATCGCCAAAAGTCAGGCGATTTCGTCGACATGGGTGCTTATAGTTTCTGCTTATCGCGCATGTTTAAAATCTTAGAGACTATGATATCATCTGGCAAGAATCAAATCTGTTGCTGGATAGATAGAAATTCTCTTAAAGATCATATTTGCATATTTCTTCCGCGCTGACTCTAGGTTCTCTCCAAACGATTAAATGAGAAAAGTTGTTATCTGTTTCAAAGAAAACTTTACCCATCGTCGCGTCGCAATCAAACAATTGAAGTTTTACATTCGAACATACTGTATGTGCTTACTTCCAGCTAAAACAGAGTTATTTTACTCTCTTTTACACTAGAGTCCTTCAGCAGCAAATGCATGATCGAGTGTTAGAGAAATAAATTTTATCCAAATCTTCACTAAAACTTATTTATAGGCTGCAATTTTAGGTTCGTGGTGGTAAAGCACGTCGAAATGAATTGTTATTTCAACAATTAAATTTACATACAGCAATGAGAAGTATTGGGGGCAATCGATTCGTCAAAGGCTATGACCTTCATTTTTCAATTTATCGTAAGAAAAATGAACCATATCAAACAAAAGACTACAACTGGTATTCAACAGAAGGTCAATGTTCATTTATAGTTAAATGTGTTCAAATGGATGACGTTGACTGAACAATGATGATAAATAATTTTTAAAAATTCTCCTCTCATTTTCTTTTTGTCGAGACAAAATACAGTTAGCGGAAAAAGTATTCATACTATGGAGGACAAAACCTTGTAACATCATTATTTCCTGAAGAAGAAAGATAGAAAAATTTGCTTTCTACCATTCGAGAGCCCTAAATCTCAGCTTTATTCCTTGTTAATAACAGATTTTTATCTCAAGTTTTTCTATCAAAAGATAGAAGTTTTCTTAACTCTGATCTGTTGTTTTCGCTCTATAAGTGTTCGTACGATCACCCTTTCACTTCGATTTGGATATTTATCAAATAGATAGAAACTTTTGTTTATATACCATTCAAAAGAGCAAAATCTGGCCTGCACAACGAAAAAACGAAATAAACAAAAATATATAGCTGAAGATGAAAATCGTATTTTGAATTAATTAGCTAAATGTTACATAAAAGCTTATTTAACTAAACATTATCAAAACATAACTTCAGATAAACCATTAAATAGCGCTTGAAAAACTGCATGCACCTGGTGTAGTTTATTTAAAATTGACTAGTAATCTCATCTCATTTGAATCGATTTACTTTTTTCCGCTCACTAACAACGTCCTGAGTATGACTTAATAATCTACTTATTCTCAGGTTAAATTCAACTGTAAAATTTTTCAAATGTAAAATTTAGCTAATTAATTCAAAATACGATTTT